CATATCTTGATTTAAGCACATCCGTTAGATTAGAAAAATAGATGCATTAAAAGAGAATACACCCATTTACACTGGATTAGTGCAAAGCTACCTGATCCAGGATATCCAAGAATACGACTAATAGTCCTATGACCCTTTTATGGTTTTTATGGTTGATACCTTCATCAACATCTCTCTTCTAAATAATTTTCGGTTAGCTCTGCGACAATTACTATTCAACTGGATTCCATGGAGTTTTTTGAGAGTCAATCAATTAATCTGCCAATAAAAGCAAGGTTTTGGCCATCCATGACGCTCATACTCAGTCGGAGATTCTCGGCCCTACAGCCAACTTGGGCCAGTACTTCGCTCACAGGCTGGTCGAAGTCGGAGAAAAGGGACAATCGCTATCCCTAAATAATCAATTGTTACTTTCAGTTTCAGATTTTTTATTGGTGTATCTGTAATACATATACCCTATGACAGTTGCACTATAGGGAGCTGTTACGAGCCTGATGAGATGCGTGTATTCGTAAACCCAAATTGGTAAAGGCAACCTGAACAGAGTCTAATGTGTATACTTCATTATCTTATCTCTATTCTTGAGGTCTCCTGGTGGTTTGTGTGTGTGTGTGTGGGGGATTAATTCTTGATCAGCAATGGATGATATGTTGTTGAATTTGAAAGATTGAAACCGATTTTGTTTGAGTCTATGTTATCCAAAAAAAAACAAAGAGATCCAGATCGAGTTAAACTAATAGCTATCGCCGGGCTTAAGCATATTCGTTGTGATGTTGATTGCTACGTTGGGAAAAATTGTTGGGGATTGAAACCCCACATCACACACAAAGTTAACGCACACAGCGGAAAATCAACAAGCACACAAACATCCGATTTAACGTGGTTCGATCTCTCAATAGATTTACATTCGAAGGAAAACACAACATCACTATTAGATTTGAAAAATAGAATAGTTTACAAGTGTAGGGTCTCTCTCAGTATACACTCTCTCTCGCCCTCGATTCTATTTTTCCTCCCATCTCTCCCTGACGGCTTCATTTTGTTCTCCCAACTGATTTTAGCACAAACATGATATATTTATACTAAAAATCTACTCACTAATTGGGCTAATACAAACCCAACCCTAACGAGCCTTGGACTTTGATGACATAACCCAACAAATCCTCCCTCTACTCAAAGTCCCACCACAACACCATCTTGTAAGAACAAGAATAATTGCATCTTTGTCTTCAACTTGAGCTCTTCTCTCTGAATGTCAAGCGAACTACAAAACTTGTATCTCAAACCAACAACTCTTCAACGCTAATCATCTCATACCGCCGCTCTCCACTAGCAAAACACGCTGCTTGGCAACCTCAACCAAGAAGACTTTTGACACAATGAACACCACACAGATCAAATGGTTTAATTCAAAACATCTTCACAATCGCAACACTTCCCTCATCCCAAATGCACCACAGGATTCAATCATCTTGTATAGCCGCTCTCAACTAACGGGACATGATGCCTGACAACCTCGTTCAGGAAGACTTTTGACACAAGAAACCACACACACGAATACACATGGTTCAACTTGAAACACAACATCAACACCACAAGTAGTCTGCACTCTCCACTAGCACCACTTCCTCAATACGGTCAAATCACACTTCTCTTCATCAAAATTATTCTCTACCAGTTAATCTTAGAACACTTCACCTCATCATGAAATTTCCATCTCTCACAAAGATTGGAGGCATACACAACCATCTCCACATCTTTACAACTCTCTTTCAACCATAACACACTTGAATCAAGCAAAACAGCCTCATAGGATTTGAATTTGGCAAAACCAATGCAAAAAACAAACGCAGGACGTCGAAATTAGGGGGGTTGGTCGCTTCAAAATTTTGATGATGTGGCGGTCAACACGTTGACTTTGATCGGCCAACTATTCCACTGATGACGTGGTGCACACTCAGCATACACATAACAACACATCATCCCGACACGTGGCACATCCAGCAATCGACACGTCTCACTCACACAACACCAACTCCCCCATCAAGATGTGACACGTTGTGCTCTCACGGTTGTACACATGGCATGACCCTCTGCTGCCACATGGCACGCTCGGTCAAACCCTAGCAACCACCTTTTGTCACCTAAACCAACGGTTCAAAATGCTCCAACTTTGAACCGCAATCTCTTAACATCCAACGAACGGAATCGTCTCAAACTTCACCGCTTACACAAACAGCACGTGTAAATTTCATATTCGATGTCCAATCGGGCCAACTCCGCTCTGGTGGCCGTAAATCGAGACAAGGACCAGATTTCTTCTCTCTTCAGTTTCTCTCCCTACAACCGTCTGATTTCTCTCAAACTTGGGCTCCCACCGTTTTTTGGTACAAGGAATCCACCACACACTCGGATCACCGATTTGATGACTCTTTCATGCCAATTTCGAAATTAGCAGTGTCCTAAGGATCAAAAAACTATCCCAGATCAACCATCAGTTCTGATATCACTGTTGGGGATTGAAACCCCTCATCACACACATAGTTAACGCACACAGCAGAAAATCAAAAAGCACACAAACACCCGATTTAACGTGATTCGATCTCTCAATAGATTTACGTCCACACACACCATCACTATTAGATTTGAAAAATAGAAGAGTTAAAAGTGTAGAGCCTCTCTCGATACACACTGTCTCTCGCCCTCAATTCTATTTTTCTTTTCATCTCTCCCTGACGGCTACATTGTGTTTTCCAACTGATTTTAGCACAAACACGATAAGTTCATACTAACACACTACTCACTAATTGGGCTAATAAAAACCCAACCCTAACGGGCCTTCAACTTTGAGGAGATAACCCAACAAAAATTGCCCCAGTTCGTGTGGTTTGATAGGAAGGCCTTCCTGTTCGAAAGTTAAAGCTCTTTGGATCAGTTATTAGTCAGTACCTTACCGACTCACTCATGGTAGCTCTCCTTGTTCTAGGAGATGTGGAAACTGAAATTTTTATTTTTTTTTTGGAAAAAAGTACTTGTATTAATTAAAGGTTGATGAACTGATTGTTGATGAACTGATTCAGTTCCTTAATCAGTATCTTAATTTCTAAAATCATTTCTAGAGAAATTTCTAGAGATGTTGATGAACTGATTCAGTTCCTTATATTGAGATGACCCTGAAATTGATGGAACGCTTTGGGGTTACTGTAGAACACATCGATAGCTGGGACAAGTTCTTGATACATGGAGGTCCAAAAATAAAGTGTCACATCCAATGATACATAAGATGATCACAATATGATAAGATGGGAATAAAATTATAATCAACAATAAGTTAAATATAATAAATAATTTTCATGCCCTTAAAAAGAATTTTTAAAGCTTAACGCCGTTCTTAAGAATATTGAAACCTACAACACTCTTAATAAGAATTTTCTCTTTTATATTGTATTTATATTTTAAGATCCTTGATTGATTGATATCCTTGATTGATTTCGATGAGCAGAAACTAAAACTTTAGCCGTCTTACAGAATGAGCAATGGCGGATATGATGCAAAATCCAAAGATACTAGCAAAAACACAAAATTAAATGAGATAAGGAGATTCTTTGTTCGTGAAAAGCTAAACATTCAAAATGTTAGGTTACTTAAATTAGTTTTCCAAAGAAACTTTTAGGGGTTCATATTCCATTGCAAGAAGTAATTTCTAGGGAAACCCATACCCCATTAATATATCATCCCATAAATATTAGCTTACAAGTAAATATCATCCCATATCATACCATAAATATCATCCCATACCCCATTACAAGTAATAATTTCTAGAGAAATCCATACTCCATTAAATATATCATACGGGAGAATGGGCCTTTTCATCCCAAGGTTTGAGCTACACCATCTAAAATATCTCAAAGTTTAAAAGCATGTCATTTTCATCCCAAACTTTTCAAAAATATGTAATATTAGGACATTTGTTAATTTTTTCAAGTTATTAACGGCGATATTTCATTCAGTTTCTTTTCTCCCTTTTTTTTTGTCAAAAAAGTTTCATGCTTGCGCTTGGTAAATTTGGTCCATGCCAAGCAAAAAAGTTAAATGCCGCTGCATCAATTACAACACCAATTTTTTTAATAATGCTACATATTTAAAAAAATTAATGAAATAGGGCTTACTTTCTAATTAGGGCACACACAAAACCTCTCATGATTGTTATCAATCTAGAAGGTGAATCTTAGATTTTTTTTTTTTCTTTTCCTAAGCAAGGGAATAATAGATGATGTGAAGACGAAATTAGGTTTAGCTATTTTCTTATAAGCTGGGAGTTAGTGGAACGTGTTAAATGATTAAAAGAATTGGGGGAAAAGAAATAGAATAAAGTACCACCACTAATTAATTAACTGGAGTTAAATATTTAACGAATATCCTAATGTAACATGCTTTTAAAAAGTTTGGGATGTAAATGACATATTCTTAAACTTTGGGATGTTTTAGATGGTGTGGCCCAAACTTTGGGATGAAAAGACCCATTTTCCCTATATGATATATCCCATACCCCATCAATATATCATCCCATAAGTTGAAGTTCTATTAGTGCATTTCTTGTGTTACATAAACCGAAATGCCGGAATGAGATTAACAAAACTAACACGCATAGACCTAACACAACAGATCCTTTTTGTAAGCTTTAAGTTGAGGCAAACTAAAATTTGTTTTCATTAACTTGTCTGGTCAAATTAATCATGTTTTACTAACAAGAAGTTAATTAACCTGACATAATTAACAGAATACTTTTTGATATTGTTGAAAGTTAATTATTTGACTTGAAGTATTACTAAAACGATGACATAATTAAGATTCATGCATGTTGAAAAGATGCCAATGCCATAATAGTTGAACCGTGAATCTTAACAAAGTATTATATAACAATATTTTAAGATTTGTGCCAAAAGTCTTAATATTCAGGTAATAAGCCCATCAAATTTACTATATATGCACCCTTTGTCCATCAATCAAAACAGAGAACTCGAGAGATACAATATATTCATTGATAAGCCATCAAGCATAAGATGCATCTGGCTTTCCACTGGATTCCCTTTTTCCTTTTAGCTGTCTTGAGCTTGAATTTTATCAAGAAACGGAAGAAAAAATCCAATCATGAAGCTAATGATGCCATCAAGAAGAAGCTGCCACCAGGGCCAAGGAAGCTACCCATCATTGGAAATATGCATCATTTGATGGGTTCACTTCCTCATCATGCTCTCAAAAATCTAGCCCAAAAACATGGTGATTTGATGCATCTTCAGCTGGGAGAAATTTCAGCCGTTGTTGCATCTTCTCCTAGTATGGCGAAAGAGATTCTGAAAACACATGATCTCGCTCTTGCAAACCGTCCTGAATTTTTAGTCGGGAAGATCATATTGTACAACTACTCGAGCATTGTATTTGCCCCATACGGTGATTACTGGAGACAGATGCGAAAAATATGTGCTTTAGAACTTCTTAGCCCTCAAAGTGTTCGATCCTTCGGTTCAATTCGCCACGACGAGGTTTTAAGACTCGTTTCATCAATTCAGGAAGAAGTACTGATGCAATCACAACATGGTATAAATTTGACGGGAAAGATTTTTTCATACACGAGTTCGATGGTTTGTAGAGCGGCATTTGGTCGCACATTTGGGCAGCACCGGGAGAAACTAGTGGAGCTACTGAAAGAAGTGTTGTCGCGGGCGAGTGGGTTCGATATATCCGATCTTTTTCCATCCTGGAAAATCCTTCATCACTTAAGCTGGATAAAACCCAAATTGGTGGAAGTGCACAACAAGTTTGATGAGATTTTGGATTCCATAATTCAAGAACATGTTGAGAATCCAACTGGGAGAAATGGCGAGTTCGGACAAGAAGATCTGATTGATGTTCTACTTAGAATCAAACGAAGTGGCGAGCTTCAGTTCCCAATTACCAACACTAATATCAAGGCTATATTAATTGTGAGTCGCAGTCATTCTCTTAAGAATATCGTTTGTTATACTGTTTTAGTTTAATAAACTCTTGACGGAAGCTAACATTATTACAGTTATTTTACAGTAAGATCAACGATTTATACTTAATGAAGAATTTTATTGTTTATTTTGTAGGATATATTTGTAGGGGGGACTGAAACTTCAGCAACTGTGGTGGAATGGGCAATGGCGGAGCTGATTAGAAACCCTAAAGTACTGGCAAAGGCACAAGCTGAAATAAGGGAAACCTTATTAGCGGAAAAGAGAGTTATCGAAGAAATTGATATTCAAAAATTGAGTTACTTAAAATTAGTAATTAAAGAAACTCTAAGGCTTCATTCTCCTGTGCCTTTATTAGTTCCTAGGGATTGCAAGGAGCAATGTGAAATTGACGGATATATCATCCCTCCGAAAACAAGAGTTATGGTTAATGTTTGGGCGATCGGAAGAGATCCAAAGTATTGGAATGATCCGGAAAGCTTCCAACCGGAGAGGTTTGAGAGCAATTCGATTGACTTTTTGGGAAATGACTATAGGTTTATACCATTCGGTGCTGGGAGAAGAATGTGTCCAGGAATGTCATTCGGTCTAGCTAATGTGGAGGTTCCGTTAGCTCATTTATTGTACTACTTTGATTGGAAACTCCCAAACAATATTAAGTGTACCGAATTAGATATGACCGAGACTCATGGAGTAACCATTGCAAGGAAAAATCACCTTTTCTTAGTTGCTTCTATGTACGAATCCCTTGGAAAGCTTTAAGTGACATGTAGCTGTAATTGGTTTCAATTATTATGTATCAATTATGTTTGATTTTGTAAATGTAAATTATTTACGGCAGAGGGATGAACAAAATCCATTGGTGTGAAAAGCTAGCTACAAATAAACCTCCATTGCTTTTTTTGTCTTTTTGAGTTTATTCTAAAGCTGTGTATACTATCCTTACCCATTATTCCCAAACTAATTTTAAGTGGATTTGACATTTTATTTTAAAATAAATCTTAATTTCGTAATTAAATATGTAATTAGTATGCGTATAGTATGTATCGACTTAAAGTTAGTAACATTGTTCGTATACTCACAAATAATCTTACTATTTTGACTCTATAAAGATTAATCTCCACATTGAAAATAGCAATGACATATGATAACCCGTTATAGTAAGTGTTAAACAGTGCTAGCATACTGTCGGTTGTCCCTATGTATAATAAAGAGACAACAATGACATATGAAGTCATCACTTTAGGTTGATTTTGGGACAAAATAATGTTGATAGTAACAACAATTATATCATTACTACCTATACCCAACTGACCATTTCAATGAACTTCTTACAAGTTGGTTGAAACTTTCAAGTTTAGACAACAATGAGATCTTCTTACTGAGTGACGTCGACAATGATTTATATAGGCTTCAATAAGTTTTGTTTGATGTTATAACTGATAATGATTTGTGAAGTTTTTTTAACATCAATTTGCTTCAAAAGCATTATTAACGAGGGACAAAGTTTGACGAAATATCAATCCTAATCAAAAGATTACATATCATGGTATCAATAATGACACTGATGAAACACGTATTACACCAAAGTCATGCTTGGAAAAAAAAATCATGGTTTCTTGGTCATGACTTCATGGCTGATTACACAGAGATTTTCTTTTGACAATATTGAACCCGGTTAGGTAATTACAACACAATAGGTTTTGGTAGAGCTTATAATTGTGGACATTTTAATTTGGCGAAAAATTATCATAATTTATCTTAGTCTAACTAATTTAATTCAAGAACACTGAACATAGTTAATCTATGGTTGATTTATTTTGTTTATTTTTTGGTATATTATTACTTAGGGTTCTTTCAGTCTCATGATGTAGAGCTGCGCCTAGGCAATTTTTTTAATAAAAAAAATAAAAAAACAAAAAAAAAAAAATTTTGCATAGTGATAATAAACTAGTTTTAAACGTGAAATTGTATTTTTTTGTAATTATTATCGAATCGAATTTTTTTTTCAATTAGTGAATATGATTTGCAGCTGGCAGAAATGTGAAGAATCAGCAAGCTATAGTTTATGTTAAAAAAGTTTATCTAATTAATTTAGCTCTATAACTGCTATCTCAACTAATCTGAATTCAAGCCCTTTAGCTTAGGTGTTTGCTTATTAATGATGATTCATTTATCCTCCTTCAGTGAACACACAAGTGGTATAGTTGCACTAAAATAATTAAGCCTATCCCTTTGGCCACCAATTAACCATAACAAACTAAGAAGAAAAATATCATTCAAGCATGACAAATCTGGCTTTCATCAACTGGATTCCTTTCTTCCTTTTTGTCCTGTTGAGTTTAAATTTACTCAAGAAATGGAAGAAGAGGTCAAATGAAATGAAGAAGAAGCTTCCACCCGGGCCGTGGAAACTTCCGATCATTGGAAATATACATAATTTCATGGGTTCATTGCCTCATCATGCTCTCGAAAATTTAGCCCGAAAACATGGTGATCTGATGCACCTTCAGCTTGGAGAAGTTTCCACCATTGTGGTATCGTCACCTCGTGCCGCGGAAGCGATTCTGAAAACTCATGATCTTGCCTTTACGAATCGGCCTGATTTTCTAGTTGGTAAGATCATATTCTACAACTTTTCCGACATTACATTTTCCCCATACGGCGATTACTGGAGACAGATGCGAAAAATATGCGCTTCGGAGCTTCTTAGCACCAAAAACGTCCGATCACTTGGTTCGATTCGCCAAGATGAGGCCTCGAAACTCATTTCATCGATTTGGGAGGAGGCCTTACAAACAAAAAGGCCTATTAATTTGACAAAAAAGATTTTCTCGTATACAAGTTCGATGGTTTGTAGAGCTGCATTTGGCCGTACGTTTGGAAGGCATCGAAACAAGCTGGTGGAGCTTTTGAAAGAAGCAGTATCAATGATGAGTGGGTTCGACATTTCTGATCTTTTTCCATCCAAGAAAATTCTTCATCAACTAAGTTGGATGAAGCCCAGATTAGTGGAGTTACACAACAAAATTGATGAAATCTTGGAGGTAATAATCCATGAGCATATTGAGAATCGAGCCGAAACAAAAACCGGAAATGGTGAGCTCGGACAAGAAGATCTGATTGATGTTCTATTAAGGATCAAACAAAGTGGTGACCTTCATTTTCCAATCACCAACACAAATATCAAGGCCGTAATATTGGTAAGTTGTTAAAGTAATTTCATCATTTCCTCAAACTGATTTACTCCCTCCGTCCCGGAATTATTGTCCAGTTTGGATTAACATTTTAGTAAAATTGAACTAAAAATGAAGATTCAAAGATGACAATAATTTTTAGGTCAGAGGGAGTAATATTTGATTGGTTGACTGATTTGCGCAGGGTATGTTTGGTGGAGGAACTGAAACTTCAGCTACTGTGGTGGAATGGGCAATGGCGGAAATGATAAAGAATCCAAATGTGATAGCAAAGGCACAAAGTGAAGTTAGAAAAGTGTTATTTCAAGGAAAGAAAACAATTGAAGAAATCGATATTCAAAATTTGGGTTACTTGAAATTAGTGGTCAAAGAAACCCTAAGACTTCATCCCGCAGCTCCTCTGATTCCTAGGGAATGTAGAGAGCAGTGTGAAATTGACGGTTATATCATTACTCCGAAAACAAGAGTTATAATCAATGCATGGTCAATAGGAAGGGATCCTCAATATTGGGATGACCCCGAAAGTTTCATGCCAGAGAGGTTTGAGAATAACACAATTGACATCTTAGGAACTGATTTTGAATATCTTCCATTTGGTGGTGGTAAGAGGATTTGCCCTGGAATTTCATTTGGTTTAGCTAATGTCGAAGTTCCACTTGCTAATCTGTTGTACCATTTCAACTGGAAACTACCGGACAATATTGAAAGTTCGGGTTTAGATATGGCAGAGGCTTATGGATTAGCCGGAACAAGGAAAAACAGCCTTTTATTGATACCCTCAGCATATATGAATCCTTAGGTACACTCTTAAGTCAAGGCCAAATAGTTTTTAATGTTGAAATTTGTGTACCAACCTTTCTCTTTTAATAAACATTATTAGTATAATATTTGTAAAACTTTCCGTTCTGTTGAACTGAGATGGACGAAAGATCTTCTGCATGCAAATGAAAATAAAAGTAATATGTGATGTCTGTGTAATCATCCTTTTTTTTCTGCTCAACTCATTATAATCATCGGAAGTTAATGCCAGAAATTGTTCTTCCCACATGTTGGGTGGAAAGTTGGCTAACCGGCCGCTAGACCAGGACATTTAAGAGAAACACCAGATTGAGGAGCAATATCCATGTTTTGGTTAATAAAGCAGATTTAGAATTAAAGAAAGGCTTAATTAATATAATTAGCTTCTTATAAAATGCATTAATAAATGATTCTTTTATATATTTTAAAATTGAATGGCCCCAGCGAGAATTGAAACCTCGACCTCCTGGTAATAACCATCCTCCATCCTAATCACCTAACCACTACACACACACACACACAGATATATATATATATATATATATATATATCTTCATATTTATTAAAGGAAAATTTTCAATCGCACACATGGCGTAATATTAGATAGACTAATTCATGTGACAAAAAATTAGATAGTCAAGCCCACATGTCGCGTTCACATCACTCCATCATTTAACGGTAATTTTTATTTGTGAATCCGTAAAATCTATAAATAACTATAACCTGATTTATTTGTGCAGAAGAAAATATAAGTATCAAAATCAACTTAAAAGGGGAAAAAAAAGAAAAGAGAACACCGAATTAATCTAATTAAAGCACTTATCTTAGATTTATATATTACGGAATTAAAGTACTTGAGAAATAATTGGACAGCGAATACATAGACACTTTTTTTCTCTTTTTTTTTTTATTTGTATCTTTTTTTCCTAAACCTAAGAATCCAAATTAATTCTAAGATTTGAAAAGTGAACTATAATTTAAGTATTATCTTGGAACTACTTTTTAAATATTATACTAATGCGGTACAATTAGACATTTACGACATACTTAATTGGTTGGATTGTTTAAAAAATGATTGAGATGTGACCAAAATAAATAAAAAAATTAGAAAAAAGAAGAAGATGAACATGCAAGACTTCTAAAATGTTAAGGATCCCTATAAGATTTTGTGCAACCACATTTTACAACACTACCTAGAATAACTTCAACATGATTCACCCATCTCAAAATGATTTGGCTAAAATGAAAATCTAAATTGGATAATCATATTAGAACAAAAAGATTATTTATTTGATAGCAATCATTAAATTATAATCAATCCAAGCAATGCTCGAACATAACTAAATGTCAGTATATATCAAATAAGATAAGTTTATTTAAAAAAAAATAAATTATAAAAATTAGTATTTAAATTTATTCATTCCCTATAACATTGACGGGTCCAGATAAAAAAAAATAATAAGATGCATATTTTCGGTTGCCCGCACCCGTGATACATGGTAGCATAAAATATAATTTGCTTAGGAAAAAAAAACATAGTATATTTTAAGAAAAAAATGAACACGAACAAACTTCTAAAGAAATGTTGCAAAACTTATAAAGAGATAAAAAATAAAAATAAGTTTATGAAAAGAAATAATAAGAAATATTCAGAATAGTTTTAAATATATGACACGGATATAAATATTTAGAGAGATGATTATGAAAAGTTAAAGAATAATTTTAAAAGATATAAACTCATGAATCAACAAAACAAAAAAGATGGATAGCAAGTTACATTGGAATATTTTGAATATTAAAAATTATTCCAAATGTACTTAAAACAACAAAACATAGACATTAAAAATCACGCAATTTCAATTTATATCATTAATAATTTTTTTTATGTATATCACTCTGTCAGAAATGTCATATAGTCATTGAACCATTAATCTCATATATATCTTAAACAACCCGCACGACGTGCGTGATAAACACTAGTATATATAGTTCTAACGCTACCAAGCATAACCTCATTTGATTCTTTTAGAGTAAACCACATCAATTTTAATGAAATTTCGTAGGCACAATATAGCAGACTTGTGGTAAATTCATGTATCTCAACTTTCTCCAAATCTACTAAACCAAAAGACCTTTAGACAATGGATAGAAAAGACTCCACAATATGTAAATACAAGTTGATTGTGATGGGGAGTGATAGCATATGAATTATGTGAATCAATGGTTAATTGTGCGCCAATAGATCATATAATAATGTATTTTAGTATGGGATTGTAGAGCTCCAAATGACAGCCGTTGGCATTGGAAGAAATTAATGAAAATCAAAGAGGTTATGAAAGCAGGGATCAGCAATGGTCAATGGTTGGGAAATGGTGGTAAGCAGTATACCGCAAGCAGTGGATACACATGGCTGAGAGGTGAATACAGAAAGGATCATGCTGCAAAGGTAGTATGGTGTTGTTACTCAGTCCCAAAACACAGCTTTATAAGCTGGTTGGCTTGGAAACAAAGATTGAACACTGGGGAGAGGTTGTAGCAACTAAATATTGTTGTTGATACTATAAGATGTGTTTTATGTGAAACAGAACCTGAAACTGCTCATCACTTATTCTTTCAATGTGTGTTCTCTAAAAGATTGCTGAAATGGTGAAAGTTTGGCTGGGAATCAATACCATCCCTAACCAGTTGAATGTCCAAGAAATGCTGCAAGTATGGAGGTACAGGAAGATGCAATAGAAGGTACTATATGCTGTCTTTAATGCCACAGTTTATCAGGTTTGGATGGAAAGGAATTACAGGAAATTTAGAAACATAAAATGTGAGGTAGAATGCTGTTTTAACAAAATTAGAATACAATTTTGTTTGAAGATGAAAAAATTGAAAAACAGTGAGCAGCAGTTTATGAGGAGACTAGGGATATATATTTGACAGAGGATGTAATTATACATTGTACAGGAAGTTTGTGATGTGATCAATAAAATTTACACTTTAACAAAAAAAAATGAATTTTAGTAAACCAAGATGATACATATTCTACATATTATTGAGTGAGCTAGATCGACATTTAATTACAAGTTACATATCCAAGTACAAATAAACCTACATTAGTTCCTTTTTAAGTAATCAACAAGTTGTATTCGGTGTGACGATAATGATAACGTGATGAAGAGAGGAACATATCAATTTTTTCTGGAAGTCATGAAACACGGAATGTTGTCAATAGCTCCAACGTCAAAAGATTTCATTATTTCATATACAATATATATTAACATGATGCTGACCCAAAATTAGTAATGTTCAATAATTTAGTGCCGACAGAATTCCCGGTCCTTCCCCAATTAAGGCCAAATCCAATTTCGTGCAATCTTCTCTTGATAACACACACCAAAACTCTTAAAATACATACTCCTTTTATCCGAGAAAAATAATTCACATAAATTCTTTTCGAACAAAAGAAGTATTTTACATATTTCTTCTAAAAATAATTACTCTCGTTATCATATAAAAACAGGAGAGATATGTGCTGAATGTTTTATATATTGTACATTTCACTCAATTTTGCACGAAATTAAGAAATATCATAATGCAATTCGTCACACTTTTATAAATGTGGCACCCGTGTCTAAAATTTATTACTCCGTCGGTGAAAAAACAAATCCAACCATTTTGAGGCTGTAATACGGGTGATTAACTAGGAGGATTCAGTTAGGCCGCATGATTAGTCAACAAGTATTTGCCGGTCACAAGGTTAGATAAGACTTTTCACGTCGCACACAAAAAGTATTCTTTCTGTCTAAAAAAAATACTTTACATTAATTTTTATCATTTGTGTTATTTTAAATATAAAATATAAAATTCAATGTGCACCATTTCTTTTGCTAGAGATAAAGTGGTAGAGTGTTATTCTTAGATATTGAAAGTGTATTTTGAGCCGATATACAGCTTAGCTCGACTTTCACTCACTAAAGTGATTGCTATGAGTTCCATAGTGGATGACATTTATGATTCGTATGGCTTCCTTCATGAACTTATCCCGTTCACAAATGCAATGGAAAGTTACATGAACTGAACCCATTAAATTTAACCTAATACTTCCAATTCCAATTAAAATCCTATGTCTGTTAAGCACTTGGGATTGCTACTCAAAAGAGAAAAAATATTTATACTAATTGAATGCATGTTATAGATGGGATATCAGTGTGCTGGAGCAGTTGCCGGGCTACATAAGACCTTGTTACCGGGCTCTCTTAAATGTTTATTTTGAGACAGCGAAAAGGCTGGCTAGACAAGAGAAAGCAAACCTAGCGGAATATGCAATATCATCTGTAAGCACGTACAACTCAATTAAGTTAAAAATTTTCCTAATTAACGTTAACAAATTTCCTTGATATGATTTTCACGATGACTAATGCCAACATTTATCCGTTACTTAATTCCTTTATCTATTTTTGTGCACTAAAGATGCAAGATTTAGCAAAATCGTATTGCGAAGAGACAAAATGGATACTCAGGAAGGACATTCCTAACTATGATGAGTACATGAAGGTTGCACTTCCAAGTTGTGGTTACAAAATGTTACCAATGAATGCCTTGATGTGCATGGGGAAATTTGTGACTCAAGATATCCTCGATTGGATGGCAAAGACACCATTGATCATAACAGCTGTCACTTTGATTTGTAGATTAATGGACGACATTGCTAATGGAGAGGTATTATTTCTTCTTCTTTTTTTTTTTTTTTTTAATGCTAGATTGAACAGTGCATAATCCTTCTAGATGATAAAACTTTACTCTGTTGTTTTTTTCAGTGGGGTAAACAAAGGGGAGAAGAAGCTTCGGCGGTTGAATGTCACATGCATCAATATAACACTTCCAGAGAAGACACCTTGATTGAGCTTCGGAAACAAGTAGCAAATGCATGGAAGGATTGAAACACAGAACGTCTAAACCTCATTTCAACAGTATCCTCGATCATCCTTGAAATCATCATGAATTTCGCAAGGATTAGTTATCTTTTGTATCGAGGCAAAGATGGATATACGAGTCCTACGAATGAGGTCAAAAACTGGATCTCGTCCGTACTTTTTGATCCTATTCCTATATAAGTTGGCTTAAACGCGATGTAAGAATTTATTTATTTCCTCCGTCCTAAAATTATTATACAGTTTGAATTTTTATTTATAATACAAATTCAAACTAGATAATAATTTTGGAATCGAAGAGTACCTTTTTTTTTTTTTAACGAACTATCTCCATACTTGGTGTGATGTCATTTAAGTTCCAGCTAACAGATCCTGGCAGGTGGGTATGCAAAATTGGGCCGGAATCCAAAAAGAAAATCAACGATCAAATCAACGTCATAAATTATGGGCCAGATCATATCCCAATTGATAATAAATCATGGACGGTGTCTTGGTAAGTAGAAAATGAGGGTTAGGCCGATGGGCGGTTATTATTGGGTAGTGTTTAGGTGGGGGGTTTGGTAATAATTTTTTTAATTTCTTTAGGTAGCCTCAAAGTTTTCTAGTTGTAAGTATTTAGTCCATTGGGTTTCTTTTGCTTAAGTTTAGATCTCAAAAGTAAGATAGATATTCTTATTGACTTATAGTAATGTACTATGTTTATTCTAAAATAAGTATCATCCTATACTTTGCACATAGTTTAAGAAACTCTTAAATATGATGATAAAATTACTTGAATATCCTCAATCAATCTCATTAAAAAAATGTCCACCAATAGTATTAATTCTTTTGAGGGTAATTTTAAAAAATTTGGATAAAAAGTGCATTGAAATCTGAGAACGACATTTATTTTAAAATTTCTCCATTTTACTTAAACAATACTATTTTGGAACGGAGAGAGTAGTATTTTACTCTACTTTTTTTATAAAAAAAAAAAAACCATCCCAATATACTCCACTTAAATATGGACGGGTAAAATCTCCCTTAATAGAAATTGAACCCAAGCCTAATGTCTGAAACTACAACATTCTAATCACTAGACTGTCATTCAATTTCGTATTTTATTGTACTTTTATAAACTAGCTTCCCTATGTAATGCTAAAAGTGGGGAATTCACAAAATCAGGGAGTCGCAGGAGTACAAATTGCGGGACGAAGTAGCAGTTAATGATTCACTTCTCAATTCTAATTAACCCATACTCGTCACTTCACAAAATCTACTTTTAACTATTTAAAACAGTGGTGACTGAGGACACGTGGCTGACAATTTTTCATCAAATATTTTACTGCGTAAAATTAAATTTCTTATAAATTAATTTATTAATGTTTATTTTATAATGCAAAAAAAGCAAAGTTTTTAGATAAAACAATTCCATTTAATACATGCATTAATTAACTTTAAAAAATCACTCAAATTTTATCCATAAAATTGCTCAAATCTACTTTTACCTATTTAAAGCGGCTGAAAGGACACGTGACAGTTTCTCATCTAATTTTTTTTGCCTAAAGTTAAATTCTTTATAACTTAATTAATACTCCCTCTATTTCAAAATGAACACAACTGTTAGTAATTAATTTATGTATCAAATATCTAATTTAGCTATCATTAATTGTGTTGGAATTATAATCAAGACTAGAAAAAAAAAAGTTAGTATCATTTATTGAGAGCAAAGTTAAGAAGCTAACCAATAATTTATTTTGAAATCCTAAAAATACCCACATTTTGAAATATTTCTCCAAACCTAAAGCGACCTACATTTTGAAATGAAATGAGTACTCATTTTATAATTATGAGAAAGGAAAAAAAAAAAGGAAGCAAAGTTTTACGTACACAAGAATTCTATTTAATACATGCATTAATCATATATTAAATTCAAATTGTCTATATTCATCTCTCATTTCGATAGATATAAAGTCACTCAAATTTTATCCATAAAATTGCTCAAATTTGATTACAGTAACTAAATTCAAAAATCAACATATCAATCCAAATAATATATATCTTTATATTCTCTCCATTCCAAAATAAGTATCGTTTTGGAAAAATGGAGAAATTTCAAAATAAGTGTCGTTTTTGGATTCTAATGTATTTTTTGTCAAAAATTTCTAAACGTATCCTAAAAAATAATATTCTAGTAATTTAGTTATCCTATTTAATGTTTTCTTAAATTATGTACAAAGTCTAGAATGACACTTATTTTGGAACGGAGAGAGTAATACACAGGAGCTCCAAAATTCACTCCTAGTGAACTAATAAGATCAACCGTGCATAAATTAATTTAACCAGCGACAACAGTTCACAATATATATTTTTTTCTAAAAAATATGATATACTAATCTTCAAAACTGTCCTCCTCAACAAATACACACCGATCGACCAAAAAAGAGAAAGGGGGAAAAGAATCGAACACAGAGAAATTCATTAAATCAATCAAGCATGAGAAATCTGGTATTCAGCTGGATTCCTTTTTCCGTTTTAGTTTTTGTGTTAAGTTTGAGTTTTATCAAGAACAAATGGAAGAAGAATAATGCTATGAAGAAGAAGCTTCCACCCGGGCCATGGAAGCTTCCAATCATTGGAAACATGCATCAATTGATGGGTTCACTCCCGCATCATGCTCTCAAGAATTTAGCCCAAAAACATGGTGATCTGATGCATCTTCAGCTTGGAGAAATCTCAGCCATTGTTGCATCATCTCCGCGTATAGCAAAAGAGATTTTGAAAACGAATGATCTGACTTTTGCAAATCGGCCGGAAATTCTGGCCGGAAAGATCTTATTCTACAACAATTCCGACATTGGATTCTCCCCGTACGGTGATTATTGGAGACAAATGCGAAAGATTTGTACTTTGGAACTTCTCAACAACAAAAGTGTCCGATCATTCGCTTCGATTCGCAAAGATGAGGCTAAAAATCTCATTTCATCGATTCGGGAACAAGCTGCCCTGAAGCTGGAATCACAAAAAAAGGGGATGATTAATTTAACCCAAAAAATCATCTCCTACACCAATTCGATGCTCTGTCGGGCTGCATTTGGTCGAGCATTTGGACTTCATCGGGACAAAGTGATGAATCTGCTGAAAGAAGCCGCGTTGCGGACAAGTGGGTTCGATGTTTCCGATGTTTTCCCATCCTGGAAAATACTCCATCACTTGAGCTTGATGAAGCCCAAGTTGATGGAGTTGCACCGCGAGTTTGATGACATTTTGGAAACCATAATACAACAACATTTGGTCAACCCAACTGGGAGGAATGGTGAGTTTGGTGAAGAAGATCTTATTGATGTTCTTCTCAGGATCAAGCACACTGGCGACCCGAATCTCCCAATTACCAACACAAACATCAAGGCTGTGTTACTGGTAAATTTTCAACAAGTTAATTAAAATGTTATATATACTCCATCTGATACAGAAAAATAGTCTATACTGCGAATAAAGTTTTCTGGGACGGAAAGAGTATATTAATTTTATAATCTTGCTAGATGATAACAACGGTAGTATTTTCTTTTACAGGATATATTTATAGCGGGAAATGAAACATCAGCTACCACAGTGGAATGGGCGATGGCGGAATTGATGAGAAATCCAAGTGTATTGGCAAAGGCACAGAAAGAAATCAGGACAGCATTAATGTCCATTAGGGAAGAAGCAATTGAAGAAGCCACTATTCAAAAGTTGAGTTATTTACAATTAGTAATCAAAGAAACGCTAAGACTTCATCCTCCGTCTCCTTTATTGATTCCGAGAAATAGTAGAGAACAAAGCGAAATTGACGGATACTGCATCCCTCCCAAAACGAGAGCGATGGTTAACGTTTGGGCGATCGGGAGAGATCCCAGGTATTGGGATGATCCCGAAAGTTTCATACCAGAAAGGTTTGAGAATGAATCGGTTGACTTTGTAGGAACCGATTGTAAGTACATTCCATTCGGAGCTGGAAAAAGAATATGTCCCGGTATTTCATTTGGATTGGCTAATGTTGAGGTTCCATTAGCTCATATGTTATACTACTTCGACTGGAAACTCCTCGACGACGTTAACAATGGTACGGGTTTGGACATGGAAGAGACCTATGGACTTACTGCAGCGAGGAAAAATAAACTTGTCTTGATTGCCTCCATGTACGAATCCAATTAAGTTTGGTCAATATTGTGCTTCCGTTAGCTAATATGTTGTGCTACTTTTTTTCAATAAGAAAAAACCTCAAGGGAAAATGTGATTGCTAAGTAGCCTTAATGCATTACTTCACTTGAGTATTTGTAACATGGTGTTTCTTTTCTTGGGATTCAACACTGTCCTCTGATTTTGAAAGCAATGACAAGTAAAGGATTCTCTAAATCAACATCAAACCGGGTGGTTTGAAGTCCATATCATACCACTGAACATGTACACCAATCTTGTCAGGTTCGGACCGGAACTCAACTCGACATGGCCAAGGGGTCGATCGAATCGGGGATCGACTTGGGGCAATTCGGGGGGTCAACTCGGATGACGTCAAAATGACGTAATAAATATTAATTAATTATTAATAATATTTTAATTAGAATTTTATAAATTTTATATATATTTTTCAATTGTTAGAGTCAAATTAATACTTCATAATTTACAAATGGGTCGCTATATAATCAAATTGAACTCACAAGGTCGCATATGATGATGTCATTATTACTAACCATATAGTATTTAGTTTTTTAATATATTTCAAATTAAAAATATTTAAGCTTTATATCTCTCTTCGATTATATTAGTTGATATTGATATTTTTCAGTAGTTAATTGTTACTCAAGTGAAGTAAATTAGTATTCTAATAAAGTAATTAAGATAAATACATTATCATTTAGAAAAAAATATCAAATTTGAAGGACAACTAATATATACATTAAAAAAAAGTACTCCAAGATTATTTTTTTTGTGACATATTAGAGTAATAATATAAATTTTTCATAAAATGAGGGATGTAAATTTCTGTAGCAAAATTTAAAAAAAAGATTATTCAAAATATTATATTTTGAAAATTGAAATTGAATATGGGACTAAATATTAAATTAAAATTTTAAAAAGTACAAAAAATTGAAAGTTGTTGGGCAATTTTGAACCAAAAAAAAAAAGTTGGCCTGGAAGACCTTGGAAGTTGAAATCCATGGAAAAATGTGCAATTTTTGGGTCAAAAGGTCAAAAAAACTAAAACCCCGGTTCGACCCAATTTTAGCCGATTCGCAGTTCGACCGAGATTTTGACCAATTTTTACCGATCTTCTTTTTGGCGATTTTAAGTCTTGCTCGGGTCAGCTTCGGAGCCGGGTCCCGATTTAACCGGGTCGACCAACCGGTTCGAGCCGAGCATGATAACACTGATGTACACTCAAACCACTGTGGTGTAAATTATATTTATTTTTTTTTTGACAGAGGTAGTTATATTATTAAAAAGAATGTGTGAAAAAAAAAAGAGTTAGAATACAACTTTTTACCAAAAATCAAACATATCTCTAACAATTTTTTTTTTAAATGCATATATATGCATGTTCTCATAGCTCCCGCCATGACTTCATATTTGCAACTCACCAAGAAACATTGTAGGATTTAGGTTTAGTCTTTCCATATTTACCCAAAATATGAACATTGTAATATATAGTATTTTAACTAAATATGGAAGTTATAATATTATAACATTGTACACAAAATACGGAAGTTATAATAATAGTATTTAAACTAAAAAAAATAATGAAAATAATGCATAGTGAACACAAATAGTGAAAGAAAAAATAATGACTGACGTGGAGTATTATATTATTGATTTTTTTGCGTTAAGATTTTTATTCTTCACTTAAAATTACACTTTTATCCCTAATTATAAAAGTCACATCAGTTATTATGAATTTTTACTATTCTTTTTTCACTATCTCTATCATTGCTAGAAAAAATAAATAACACCGCATTCATTATATTTTTATTTTTTTACTATATATTTTCATTGTCCTTATCATTTTCCTTTTTCTCACACTTCAAGAAATACTTCCAGGACAATTCAGTTTAGTATTACTTCTTTTGCAGATATATTGCAGTTACACACTACTACAAACAGGCAGACAAATGAAGTCACTTTATATGAAAATGTATAATAACATAATCAAACCAACAAATGGTTATGAACATGAACCCAAATTGAACTTGAAAAGAATCTCATGATGAGCAAATTACAAACGAAACATCATTCTCTTGACCAAAATAACATAACAAAGAAGCTATCAAATCCATGACAAGAAGGCAGAGCCATGCATGCATTTATTGTCCGGGCATTTCAAAATAATGAACCCGCAATAGTAGAAAATGGTTGACGAAACCTGCATTAGTAAACCATGTAGTAAACATGTGCATTCTCGCCCATTACAAACCCACGCCAGTAAGTTCAATCCATCAAAATTTGAGGAGATTCACTAACATTTTTTAACACTTCAAGAAATAATTGCAGGCCCAAGAAGCTTTGTATTGATTGGGAGATGGTGAATGCCTAAACAATTTTTTAAATCTCTGACTGGTTGTTCCATCTATTAAGATGATCATAGTTCTACTATAGGATTAGTCACTATTATCGACAGTGAATATCTTGTAAATATGGAAGAAAAAAAAAAAAACCAAAAGTTTACCAAAAATAAGTAACCTTATTAGACGGGAGTGACATACATTAATGAGAGAAGCCACCGTTGACAAGCAAAAAAAAATGTATTTTTAGATTGAATGAAATGAAAAGGGCGAACTACATTTTACATCTCGAGTTTTGGCCGTATCTACTATAAACCCCCCGAGTTTTAATAATATTACCACATACTTCCTTGACTCATAATGAACTTACCAAATGCCCCCTTAATTTATTAACATCATCATGAATTTTTTGTAAATGATCAAAAATACCCTTCAATTCATATTTTTTAAATTATATTATAATCTTTTTAAAAATATGGATTGCAAATTAAATTAAAAAAAATATACTCCATATTAATTATTTTATATTAATGCACTTAGATAATTTTTTTAAACTAACTACATTATGTCTTTTGAAATAAAACAATCTTCACTAATTTTTTTTTTGAAATATAATAAACTTACATTACTAATGATGGATTAACTTTCATTCATTATGTTATAATTAAATATAAAAATTATAAATTAATAAATTTTCATTTTTCATGAGAAAAAAAAAACAAATAAAAACAAAGTGAAAAAATAAAAGAAAATAAATTGTATGAAAAAAATAGTTATTTTAGTCATTTAATGTTTAACCCCCTGTCCAGGGGGTATATGGTAGTATCATTAAAACTCATGGAGTTATGGTAGATGAAGCCAAAACTAGGGGGGCAAAATGTAGTTCGCCCAAATGAAGATTACAACAGTTGAGGTGGTAATAAGGATTTTTTTGTGGTAATTTTGTAAATTTGCATTGCTAATATCAATTTTTCATATTTACAACCTACTTTCATACTATTACAAAGAAGCAACTTAGCATATAATACCAAGACTACTTAAAAAAACTATGGTTTTCCTTCCTTCCTTTCTTACAACAAAACTGTATTTTCCAGGACACTTCATTTTTAGTTCTGAACGGCCTGTCCTTTGCCTCTGTCATAGTTTTCATATTAGAAGTTGTATTGGGGATGAATTTTGTAGTAGCCTGTAGTTATCTATTGTACTTATCATGTAGTGTAGTCCTCTATATATGTTGTTCTCTCTCTAATCTAATGTGATAAACTCTGATCAATCGTAATAGACTTTAAGTTGGTATCAGCCTTCTCCTTTTTTCTCTCTTCTTCGTCTCCTTGCACCACCATGTCCGTTGCTGCTTCTTCTGCGGTCTCCTCTCCGTCGATTTTTTCTTCTTCTTCTCCGACTGCCACTACTGTTTCCGCTCCCTCTCTCTTCTCCTTCTCAACCAATGTGTCGTCTCTTCTCAAATCATTTGCTATCAAGCTCTCCTCGCGTGAGAATTTTGCGAGTTGGAAGTTACAATTTACCCCTCTCCTCAAAATGTTGAACCTCCAATCTATTGTTGATGGATCGGAACCTGCTCCTCCTCCCACTATCTCTGATCCCTCTACTCAAACTATGCAACCAAATCCTGCCTTCACTCTTTGGCAGTAAAAGGACCAGTTGCTCCTTTCTTGGATTCTATCCTCTATTTCGGAATCAATTTTTCCGTGTTTACAAGGAGTCTCAGCCTCTACTCAGGCGTGGACTGTTTTGGAACAAGGTTATGGGTTGCTTTCTCATGCTCAGCAAACCCAAATTGTTTTGGAACTTCACAATCTCTCCAAGGATGACATGTCCGTTTTGGTGTTCCTTCATAAGGCCAAATCTCTTGCTGATTCTCTTGCTATGGCCGGTCATGCTTCC